AGAAACTATTTATAAATGCAGTGGCTGTGGATTACGCTCTATTATTTCCATTTTGTCTTTATCACCTTTGCAAGATGCCTCACTGAGCTCCTGCAGGTTACACAAAACTGTTGTCCTAGCAGGACACTGTTGCCAAAGACAGGACCAGTCCCATTTATGTAAGTCCCAAGTTCTGTCATCCCTGAAAACCGTGGGAGAGTTTTCCAAAGAAAAACTCAGTTATCAGCTGCATTCTTGTCAAAATTGACTTGTAGGAACCACACTGTTTCTGCTCACCTTTGCTTTCACTCCAAGCTGCTATAGCATTTCTGCAGTCACTGCCCAGTACTGTGCCATGCTTTGCCAAAGGCCGTTTACATACCACTTCCAAAGTAGCCACATTTTAGTAGTGCATGAAGTACTTTCTGTATTAAATGCATACCCTGCTCAAAGATTTACTGTTTTGCACCCCAGCTGATTAAATTCACAGAACACCCGCTTTTTAAATTTTTTTTTTCTGGAAAAATACTGTGACTTCCAGAATAATTATTCAAATTCAAATCTAGTAGTTGAAACTAAAAGATGTTCCCTGTCACATACATACAACTTCTGCAGAACATGGTAATAATTCTGCTGCTGCTGTAATAATTAGCTGCTAATTTACTTGGCTACTATTCTGAGTCTGACTCACACATATTCACACCCAAGCCTCAAGATCTGGGTGTTGCAGACTTAGAATTAACACATTGTTTTTCAGCCCTACAAAAAATACCCACCAAGAGCTCCTGTATAAATTTGTTTGTTGCATTAATACTCAATACACAAATACGCAAAATATTGCAAAGTAGCTTCCCACAGAAACTTTTTTTTCACTAGTGAAGAATGGTTTGAGGTGTGCATTTACTATATTTCCACCAGTGACCATTTGATCAGCAGGAAGCAGCACACTAATGTTATGCCACTGAACGCAACGGGATGGAGAGTGCAAGCAAAGACTCTGGGCATACAAAGATTCTTCCATTACACAGGAGATATTGCCATCCTCACCTGTAATTAGAACAGTCTTCTTCACATCCCACCCAGACTGGAAGTCTCTGATATGTTATATGCATTTGTCACTGCTTCATATTCAGCTGCAGCTTAACAGTTAGGCTACCAAGCATTAGGACTACAGATCTGCTTGCTGAGATATCTGGGCAACTGAGAGAAGCTGAGTGCCCCCCTAATAAAATTAAATAATAATTTAAAAAAAAAGTAATTTAATTAAGCCCACAAATGGTACATAAAAATTAAAATTAGCAGCACAAAGAAAAAGTCTGTGATGGCCATGATTGGCAGGGCTAGAGGATAATGATGAAGCCAATGAAAGAGAACAGTAGGTGGCTCCATGCCTCTGATGATGAGTCAGTTCTCTCAAGTGACAGAGACAAGCTGCTATTTCTATGTGCAATTTGCTCTGCCAGTGACTTTACCAGTACAGCTCATTACAAATAATAATTGCTTGAAGCCCTGATCACAGAATCATTGAACTGCAGAATGGTTTGGTTTGGAAGGGACCTGAAAGACCCCTCAGTTCCAACTCCTGCCGTGGGCAGGGCTGCCACCCACCAGACCAGGCTGCCCAGGGCCCCATCCAACCTGGCCTTGAGAACCTCCAGAGATGGGGCACCACAGCTTCTCTGGGCAGCTGTGCCAGGGCCTCGCCGCCCTCTGAGTAAAGAAATTATTCTTAACATACAACCTAAACCTCCTCTTTTTTAGTTTAAAGCCATTCCCCTTGTTCTATCACTATCAGACCCTGTAAAAAGTCAGTCTTCTTCCTGTTTATATGCTCCTTTCCAGCACTGAAAGATTGCACTGAGTTCTCCCCAGTCTTCTCCCGGCTGAACAAGCCCAATTCCTTCAGTCTTTCTTCACAGGAGAGTGCTTGTGGCTCGTGGCACATGGCTCATGGTAGGTGGCACATGACATGCAAACTCCCTTGTAGCTTATGGCTCAGAAGTACATCCCCTTACCCCATCAAATCTAGTTTAAAGCTCTACTGATCATTCCAAGTAGATTACTTCCCAGAACATTCTTGCCTTTCCTGGTCTGCTGTCATCTTATGTCAATATGGCCACTCTTTCACGGATGTCTCCAAGATTATTGTTCATCAATCCTGAGTGTGACACTATCCTTGCAGCCATCCACTCAACTGATACTATCCAGTTTCCAACCAGGATAGAGGAGAACATCCTCTATCCTGCACTCCCAATCCTGTCACTGTCTTTCCAAGAGACATAAAGTCTCTTGATATTTCATAATCTTTTTATTGCAGCCTTATAGGAACTGACTTGAAAGAGCAGGAATGGATAGCAGTCCTGCTTTACCAGGGACAGTAGTTTCTCGTGATATCATGAATTTTTGCCCCTGGCAGGCAGCAAATCTCTCTTAGAGAGATTGTCTGTATGTCAAACGTTCTTGAGTGCCTCTCAGCAAGTAGTCCCCAATTACTCCCATCCTCCACCTTTTTTTTGATGGCACTGGTTCTAACATTACAGGTGCTTCGCTGGACCAGCTTAGTGTGGTTCTCCTTTGCTGGATCTTGGCTGCTACCCCCACACTCATTTTTTCCATCCCCAGAGCCTTGTATGTGTTGCACAGGGGCACTTTGGGGGCAGACTCCCCAGTCTTCCATGTTACTGCAGTCTGTCTTCACAGGGTTGTCAGTTGACAGTACCACAAGTATCTGTGATAACTCTGCAGGGATGGGAACTTGGTGGCACGCTGGAACTGATAAGCTGCTGACAAACACTGACTCAGCAGCTTTTCAATTTTCAGTCATACCAATCACAATAACGATATGTATGATGAGACCCACTCAAGTTCCACCTGAAAGTAAAAAACTAGTATTAAAAAGACCTAAGAAAAGGAATTCTAGGGAAGATACCATCACAGACATGCTGGGAGGACAACAGTGACTACTACGACCAGTAGATGGGGTGAGCCTCTCTTCCCCTCCATAGGCATGCCTATTGGGTAAGATTTGCACACTCAGTTACACCATGCCGTTGTGAGAGAAGATGGAAACTGAGAGCTTTTCTACTGAAAGGGCCTCAAGCAATATTTCTAATGGTGTAAAAACATTCTAGGGTGGAGATTAAGTAAGTGCATGCAGGAATTACTTTTTAGGCCTTTCTTAGAGACATCTCAGTAGGCCTCCCAGTATAGACCAAGGACCTTTACCAAGACATTTTCTTTGGTGCAGAGGGAAGGCATCTGAGGAGGCTCAGGGCTGCATTTGTCTGTTTTGTAGCAGGCCAGCATTAGAGCCAACTAAAATTTGACAGGGATGTGCAACCCACCAGCTCCAGAGCTCCTTTCCAGTGAGTCTTTGCATTATTCCAGCCCCTTTTCTCCCCAGGGTCCTTTGTTAGGGAACAGGTTTCCTCAGATTGCAGTCAGATAATCTTTCAAAGGGAGCCCTCATTTGAATCATTAAAGATCACTACCTCTTGGTCTCTTTTTCAGTTCCTTTTTGGTCTTACTGATGACCCCTGCTCCCCAGAGCCTCATGGAAGCTTGGGTTTCAGGATGTCATAATGCAAGGGAAGGACAAAATACAAGCTACAACAAAGACAACACTCAACATACAAGTCAGAGTTTACAGATCAAGACAGATTCAAACAAGGCAACTGGAAGCAGTGGCATGCATCTTTTTGACACAAGACTGAAGGCCTTCTCCACGGTCGCCATAGTCTCTTGTTATCCTTGTGATCACTCTTGCTTGCCTTCTAGGACTCTCTGCCCTGAGCTTGCTTCATCATTTCTTCTGCCCATCTCAAGTGGCAATGCAGTCTTTTCATATTCACCCCAAGGTGGCACTGTGAAACTCCATGTACTTCAAAATCATTCATTATCTAGCCGGACACCACAATCTAGAAACTACAGAGTCACTGATGAACAAGTACAAAGCAGGAAAAATATATTTGAGAGAAGTAAGAACAAAAATAGTTATGAAACCTTGCTGCAGGAAGGAACATCAATTTCTTCCAGTTCTCTAATGTGCACGTTGTTACCGAGCGAATGAAAGCTTGTGGATGTTAAATTAACCACAAAGCATACCAGAATATCTTGTAAATCACGAAGACTTAAGATAAACTCAAGTGAAAACTGATAACAGCCATCCTGACCATTTTTTTGCTCCCATCAGTTTTATTTCTGCAGCCTGAGTGGTTTCCACTTCTATGAAAAGTGAAATGAGTATTGCATAATCTGTTGATACAGCTTGCCAGTGAAGCAGCTTTCCTCTTGTGATGTCAGAATGCCTGGATCTTACAAACACAGAAAGGTGACAGTTGTAGCAACTGACAAAAGCAAGTTTTGGTGCTTAGTCTTGATCCTCTGTAAATACTTCCTTTTCTAACTAAATTAATGTTACAACTGCCATTCTGTGTCAAGAGATCAGTTGTGTAAATCTTTACGGTAGTCTTTTGGCAAGCTTTTGAAGACGACAGTATTTGAGACTTGGAAGCACTACTATAAAGCAAACAGAAAACAAAGCCTTTATTCCAGAACAACATCGTTTTTATTTATTTATTTATTTTATATAAACTCATTACAATAAGCACCAGACAAACTGAGGCCTGAGGAGACCTCTGCTATTCCCTGCTGCCTTGGCCTTTGTTCCCTTGGAAAGACCACCTTTTAGCCAGGACATCATGGTGATGGTTGGGTGACAGCTGAGAAACCAAAAAAAATTATCTCGGGTATCAACTGCTCTTCAGACTTGGAAATGGCATAAATTTGTCTCCTTCCTGTAGGAAGAGCTTGGGAACATTTGCTAGATCACTAAACAAGACAAAGAAAGCTCCTTGTAGTGTCATTTCACTTTTAACAAGAAAACAACTCATGTTTTTTTGCATCAGTGATTTTTATTTTAAGAAAAATTCAGTATACACAATGACTGTTTTGTCATGCTTAAGGTTTAAAGTTTCAGTTCTTTTTTTTTTTTTTTTTTTTTTTTTTAATGAGGAGTTCTGAATATAACAGCTATGCTAGCACAGGACAGGAAAAGAGAACAAATTTGGCTGAGAAAAACAGTGGATACAAACAGCAGAATGCAAAGGACCAGACCAGTGAAAGGAAAAAAAGATGTAGGGAATTGGAACCTAACCTTGTTGAGCAGCCTGGTCTAGCAGGAGGTGTCCCTGCCTATAGCTGAGGGGTTGGAACTAGATGATCTTGAAGGTCCCTTCCAACACAAACCATTCCACGATTCTATGATTGGTAAGCACAGAAAACAGTCGTGACTCTTTAAGATCGAAATCTTTTGCATGCCAGCACAAGCAGCTGTCTTAGCTAAAAGGAACTCTTGCATTCAAACCGTTCAAGGTACATTATGAACGAACTACCTGGGAAAACAGTGTAGATGGTGGCTATTTCAAAAACTATGAAAAAAATTCACTTTCCGCTTCTAGTTCACTTAACAGATTGCTTCAGCTTTAGTCAGGCGCATTAAGGTTGGACTGTACAGAAAATGAGCAGGCAGATACCTGCACAGCAAGCAGATGACACAGGCACTCTGCTAACGAGAAAGGCTTGGCACTACAGATAAGCAAACTGTGACTCCAATTCACTTGAACTGCAAGAGAGTGATCCAAGAGCTGACTGGGAGAATAGGCTTTGTGAGGGAGATATCTGGCTGCTAAAAAGGGCCTCTCGCTGCCTGTGTGGCTGTTGCTCTGGTAGTTTGGATCAAAAGAGTGGTTTAACTTCAGTTTATCCTTAGTCACTGTCACCTACCTCTCTCCTAAGGCCCTTCTGTACAAGGACTTCTCTAGTGCAGGCTTCTGAATTGCCTGCGTCCAATGCTGAATCGCTGGTGTAGGTAAGCACCTCTCAGTGACAGCATCTAGCTCTTGGATCAGACAAACATGTCTCCAGTCCTTCCTCTGGTGAGACCTGCACGCAGCCTGCAAGTTGGCAAGTTAAAGATGAGGCTTTCCATAAAAGGGGGGGTGGAGCTGAAATCTCTTGGCAAGAAGCAAGGTCTTCTTGGCTCGTGTTGTTCTGCTTTTAGTTTTTAATAAGTTCCGTTCTGTCGGCTTTAATGCACGCTCATATAAAGGGTTGGTTCCTCCCAGCCAGACTAATCAGGTTTGGATCCCTTCTCAGTGCTGCTATCGTTTATTTGGCTGGTACCACAGACCTCATACCATCTAGCAAAGAGGTAAGACCTCTTCTTTCTTTCCTCCTGCCCCTGTCAACCTGTTGGTTTGACAGCAGCATCCTCACAGAGATCCCTTCTCCCTTTCCTCCCAGCCTTGTGGTCTCCTGACAGTCCCTGCCAGGTTCTCTGAGGAGGAGCAGAAAAAAGACACCTGGGACCTCAGAGTTCCCCTGCTATGCACTGTCTCTTGCTCTCCAAGTCATGGCAGACCCTTCAATGGCAATACCTTTTATTCATTTTCTGCATCATCTCGCTTGATCAGAGATTTCATGAATTTCTCCACCTTTTCTGCAGTTTTCTTTTCAGGTTCCCATCGGGATTCTTTTCATCAGTAGACTAACAGGTGTCTCAGAGATCATTTTCATCCTTTTGGTTGTCATGAACTGGCAGCTATTTTTTAGCTTCTTTTCCTGGAGTTCATACACCCTAAGCAGCCACAATTTCTCTGCTCTTCTTGTAGCTACGCATTCCTCTTCCTGCAGACACGCTCCTTCTCAAAGTCTCCTCGCCAACAGCCTTTGCCATCTGCTAACATAACATGAAAAGCACTGATATAGCAGGCTCTGGCATTGCAGCTGCTGCTTCGCAAGATGCTGTAGTCCAGCCAGCCCTCCCCACAGCCACAGAAGCGTACTCTGACAAGGAGCCTGTGCTGCCCTCCTCCTGAATTGACAGACAATTCCACCTCCTCTCCTGCCTTTACCTGAGAGAGTGAGCAGAGGTATGAAAAATTCAGACAGCCAGGAAGCATTCGCTACTTTAAAGGTTTTTTTTTTCTAAGGGAGGACTGGGCAAAAGATAATTTGTCCAACAGGCTGTTTCTTCAAGCCTGTGCCATGTTAAACTTGCAATCTTAAGGCTGCAGACTCGATCCCTGCTGATGTGAATGAAAGATAAAAGCGTATCTGAAGTGTGACGTGGGTGCTAACGAGAGTTGGACAGTCCTCAGAAGGTTACAGGTGATGGGAAATCAACCCTTAACCAAAGTGGGCTCTAGGAGGGTAGAAAGGAGATTAAATTCAGTTCCGTTCACTGCTTCATCTGGACATCCAGAAACGTCACTACTGAAGAAATTCAAAGGCAGCAACCAGTTTGTTGGAATGGAAAAAAACCACAGGGCAAGGTAGATATGCAGGTGCTTGGTGGTTTATTGAGGCTAGAGCACTGCAGCCAAAACTAATGAAGGTTAATACCTACAGAGTAAGGAGATGTGCTTTTTTTTTTTTTTTTTTTTTTTTTCCTTAAAAACAGATGCTTATATCACTGAAAAACTGAGGCTTAGTGTCACTGTTACCATGGGAAACAACACATGAAAGAAGAGGCCCTTTCAGGGAGCAAGAGGAACAGCCTCTACTTTCTGAGAACAGGGCTGATGAAACTGGTACCACAGTGTTGCCTGCTCATCTGATAGCCACATCTTTAAAGGACTGTTAGCACACTGAAGAGAAGACATACATGATCTGCAGAGCAATAACCTGCACCGGTGATCTCCCAGCGATAAATTTAAAACTCCACAGATGCAGTTTATGAAAGATGACTGAGCAGCTACTTTCTGTATGAGTGTTTTATTCTGGAGAACAGTAAAGCAGTAAAGCTTGTATGGAAGAAACACTTCACCCAAATGTAAGTTATTGGGCAGAGTAACAATGTCATAGGCAGACAGGATGGCAGCAAATAGAAAAACTGAATGTAAAGCTACATCCAGAATAATACATAGAAGACAGGCTGCCCAGGGAGGTTGTGGAGTCTCCTTCTCTGGAGATATTCAAGACCCGCCTGGATGCCTACTTGTGCGACCTGGTGTAGGGAACCTGCTTTGGCAGGGGGGTTGGACTCAATGATCTCTGGAGGTCCCTTCCAACCCCTACGATTCTGTGATTCTGTGTCACAGAAGACATCAACTCTGCTGGGATCTATGAGTCTTTCTCCCTTCCCAGACAACTTCTGCTGCTTTCTTGTTTCTGCTTCTAACTCTGACTCCAGTTTCTCTTGTTATCAAGCAAGCAGTTTTCCCTGTTGAGTAATTGCTTTTACTTTTGCTCAGCTGGCCTTTTGTGGGACACAGAGGAGAGCAGCATTTGCAGGCTGCAAGCACAGCTGCTCTGCCAGAGGGACAGAGAACCATCCTATTTAGCCAGCATGTGTCCTGTGCATTCTTCTCCTTCCCAGGATCCCCCAAAATAGAGCTGGGGGATTTACAGATAAATTAGTTGCAATAGCTGGGCTTCCTGGCGTGATAAGAACCATAGGAAACCTCAGCTCCCCCTGCCCTCACACCGCATACACACCCTACTTCTCATTTGATATTTTGACCATTTGTGTAAGATCAGCAGTAGCTTTGCTGTATATAAAACCTGCTGCGGAGACATCAAGCAAAAAGGCATGAACTGGCATGTCTTTGTTTCTTTCCCTAGCAGAAAGAAAGCAGGCATTAGGAAGACCAGAGAACAATGAACAAAAAGAGATTCCCCTACACTAATTCCAGACAGCTCTGTTCTTCTGCAGCTACATGGTATAACTTCGAGAACTGGTTATCCTACTAGAAACACCTCCCACACAACCACTGAGCGCCTGCCTCCTCACTGCTCACTACAGATGATCCTTTCATTACTTTTTCTGAGTTTGAGGTACATTTTACAAGCCGTAAAAAAGAACGAAAGTTCTGCTGAACAAGAGCTCCTCAGTGGCACCTGCTTGTAATAATTATTGAGTAAGATGACGTGGCTTCAACTGAGTAATTAGGCTCTCACTGGAAACTTTGTATTGCTTTACACACTATAAAATGCATTTTATTTCTGTTCTGCATTTAAAGAACTATCTCTCGTGAGCATCGAGGAGAGAAGCACTTGTGATATGATCTGCAAGGAAATACAGAGTTTCCGCCAGCAGACGCAGCTACCTATTGACATCTGCTTTTTGCAGCTGCTGGGTATCACAGCGTAGGCAGCACTTCGCTGGCAGAGATACCTGGCCAGAAACAAGCAATTCTGCTCCACCAGAACTGAGGAGCTCCTCTGCATCATTTGAAAAGAAAGAGAGGAGAAAAGGTAATATTTACAAAATGTAATGGCAGAAGCCAGAAGTCTGTCATACCTGCTTATAATGTATATGACTGTAATACTTCTACCTTTTGTTGCTGCTTCGTAATTTTAAAAGCAATTTTCAGAAATCCTGCATAATTAGAATTATGTGTATGAGCATTATGCGTGCATATGTTTTCAGTTTAAAATACTCGAGTAGCCATTCTGAAGGTGTATTAGTCAGGTAGTTTAGCTGCTGTTGTTGCATCTTTAGGCCAGTTTTGTAGCCGTGATTTGTAATTCAGATTACATTCTTTGTGTACAACAGAACGGAGCTGTAGACTGGAAAGGTGTCACAACAGTGACTACGCATGGAAGGGGTCAGGTTAACGATAGTCAATGTTTGCTGTTAATCAGCAACAGTATGCAGTGCGAAGACAAATAAAGAGATGATACTCACTTTTCCTCTGATTCCCACTCATAAAATAAAGACAAAAGGGAAGGACATAATGCCGGCTTGCAAAAATTCTGATGTGTAGAGCTAAGAAATGAAGCTTGCTGCGATGTGATAACTCACATCAATGACATATTTGCACTGTGCCCATTATGTGATCTAGCTTCAAAGTAACATCACTTAAAACTCTCAGTCTATTAGAAAAGAACATACATATGAAAGTGACAAATTCCTGTTATTCACTTTGCTACTACAGACAGCACCTACTGAGAACTGATGTCGCCTTCCAGTGAGCATCATTTCATTAGGATGCATTTTATTTCTGTCTGCCTTCAGTAATGTTTGTCTGATTGGAAGGATGGGTAGAATCTCAAACTTCTATGAACGGTGGCTTTGCTTTTTACTTTACTCCACACAGAATTTATCTCTCTCCGATTTGATATCTATGGTCTGTATCTTTCGTTCCTGTTTGCTTTCTTCTTTGCAGCTTCAATGGCGTTCAGTGTTCTTGACATGTCTGATTGCAGTTTTGGAAGGACATGCATGCTAAGGACAGTACTTTTGCAAGTGTTGCATAAGAATATACTTAAATACTGATACTTAAATACTGTTTGAGAATCTGCAAGTCAGTCGAGTGTTGCAGACTTCCCAACACGATTCAGGCTTGCTGAGTAACCACACAATCATCATGCAGAGAGTGACTGACCTTTTTATATTCTTTCATTCTCAGGAACTGGGGGAAAAAAACATGAGTTCTTCAAGTACGGAGTCCCTTGAAGCTGACACCTCAACCTTTTATGACTTTTACGATAATTATAATGATGCTCCACAACCTTGCAGTAAGGAAACCGTCAAGAGGTTTGCAGCCTCTTTCCTCCCTGTTCTGTATACCCTGGTATTCCTGGTTGGGCTAATAGGAAACACTCTGGTCATTGTGGTCCTCTTTAAATACAAGAGACTGAAGAGCATGACTGATGTGTACCTGTTAAACCTCGCCATCTCAGATTTGCTCTTTGTTTTATCCCTGCCGTTCTGGTCTTATTTCGTGATAGACCAATGGGTTTTCGGAACTTCCTGGTGTAAAATTATTTCGTGGATCTATCTGGTTGGGTTCTACAGTGGGATATTTTTTATTATGCTTATGAGCATAGACAGATACCTGGCAATTGTTCGTGCAGTGTTTTCCTTGAAAGCAAGAACTGCCTTCCACGGCCTCATTGCCAGTCTTATTGTATGGCTGGTAGCTCTTTTAGCCTCAGTTCCAGAACTTGTATTTAGAGAATCTTTCGTTGAGCAAAATTATACTACTTGCAAGCTGAGATATCCAAGCAACTACATAACATGGAAACTTTTTTACACTTTGGAAATCAACATTCTTGGGCTCCTACTCCCCTTTATAGTTATGGCATTTTGTTACTCCATGATTATTAAAACTTTACTTCACTGTAGAAATGAGAAAAAGAATAAGGCCGTGAGGATGATCTTCGCTGTCATGATTGTGTTTTTCTTCTTCTGGACCCCTTACAATATTGTAATTTTATTACAACTGCTGGAAACTACTGGAGTCATTAGAAACTGTCAAACAAGTAAGAACCTGGACTACGCATTTCAAATAACTGAAACCCTTGGGCTTTTTCACTGTTGCCTCAATCCAGTCATCTATTTCTTCATGGGGGAAAAATTTAAGAAGTACCTGAAGATGCTCTTTAAGAACTGGCAGTTACCTGGAGTTATTTGTAAGTGGTGTGGACTTCATATCACTTACCACACCGAGTCTACAGGATCGTTCCACACACAGTCAACTGGGGACCAAGAAGCTCTGTAACGTGTTCCACAGCAACTGACAAAAATAAAGTGACAAAAGCAGGAACTTCAAAAAGCTCAGAAAATGCACAAGCATTTAAGTCAGCTAGTCTTTGATAATAACTTCATCTCTGATTTCTGCCTCTTAGATTTCCTGAATGCTATGGTAGAAGCTGTCCTAGATGTGAGATCTGGCAGTCGGACACGTATGTTTTATCTGCTGCAATTAGAAATCACTGCTCAGATGTAACAGCGGCCTTAACTCACAAGTACTACGCTTGTTGCTTGTTTTTCACCAGCATCAAGAAACGACTGGACTCAATGGAGGGCAGAGGAGAAACAACTTGCTATCTCAAAGTGCATTTGAAAAGTATCTTTGTTTATTCAAGGAGAAGGTGGTCATTACAATATTTTTTTATTCCTCAGTTGATCTGCATAGATTGCTCAGACATGTAGCAATCTATTAACAACAACAGCTACTGTTAGAAGTTTAATCTCAGTAAAAGCTACACCTTCTGCCATTAAAAAAAAAAAGGACACAGAACACACTCTGTGCACAAGATGCAAAGCCAGTGCATTGCATTGTGCTATAATCTAGCTTTGTTTTCTTTCAGGTATCCAAATTGTCTATATATAGGCATTTTTGAATGACTTAATTACCATAATTCAGGATGGCAATTCTTTTTTTTTTAATTAACATTGAAAATGTGGTGGGTTTTTTTGTTTTTGTTTTAAATAAATCTTTTAAAAGATAATTGTTTTCCAGTATGCGTTAACACATTTGAAGCATCTTTTAATAGTATCTTTTAAAATGAATGTTCTTTGTTCCAAAAATCCCTAACTCTGAGACTGAATTTTCTTTTTATGGTATAAATATCTGGCAAGGCAAAAGAAAGCAAAGAGATTGTATAGGGAAGGTCTGTCATAATTTAGAAACCACATAAAGAATAGTTGCATTGGATTACAGAGCAGAAGGCAAAGAAAGATGCCACAGTAGCTGCTTGTAGATCTACACGTTATTAGTCAGATCTGGAACAGGAAGGTAAATCTCAAAGCAACATTTAGATTTTGGCACAAAAATAATGTTTTAAAAGGCAAAAATCAGTGATGTAGTAGCCGCAAAAGTAAGAGTTGAAAAACCTGCATGGAAAATATTCCTGATGGCTCTTTTTTTGCTAAATGACAACTGCTCAGCAGACTGCCATCTTTCTTAGGCCATCGGTAATGAAGCTACCACCCAGCATTCAAATGTGGCTACAAATAGCAGACAAAACTTAAAAATATCTAAGGCCAGACCTTGAGAAGTAGTATTAAAGTATATATATAATATTAAAGTATATATAATATTTATATAGTAGCTCTGCTGTTATGATCACTCTAAATTAGAAATATAAGAGGATACGTAACATCCCTCACAATACAACAAACAGACAAAGTAAAAACCAGCACTCTTAAATGCTCGAGCACACATATAACCCTCATAATTCATTGTGGGGAATGCATTGCCATCAGCACTTTGCTGATGCTGACAACTTTAGGCAACTGCAACAACGCAGACAATGAGAATAGCTGTGGAAGGCATTACTGCACTAAGAAGATATCTTCCTTCCTCAAAAAGTGTGCAATTCTTACTATTCTATACAAGTCACTGAATATATCAGATATGAAAAACTGCTTCAGGGAGTGAGTTAGTCCACCTATTACCCATTTTTAAAAGGAAGAGCAAGACAAAATGCAAGTATCAGGTCTAGGAAAGTCTCATGGGTGCCACTGAGCATAATGACATCACTGGTGAGCTGGCGTGACATATCAACCTCGCAGATGTGACACGAGTGGCATACACACTGTGATCTGCTGGGCTAAACATCAATCAAGCACCTACGCTAATTTGGAAACAATGCAGTGCAACACAGTAGTTTGTTTCCCTTGGTCCCACTCTGTGACCCTTCTAGTCAGTAAGATCAAGCAGGTCCTTTAGATAAACCTGAGATCTTGCTTTCCAGAGGCTCCCTGTGCTGGACCGGCAAAAGTGAAGGTCAGTAAGTAAAAAGCAACTCATAAGAGGCTCTTGGTGACAGCAAGATACAAAAGGTCTGGAGCTCAGAGGATGCTGAGGAACAGCACCAAGATGGCAGCAGCCCACATGCCTTGCCCTGGGCACACGCCCTGCAGTGAGGGAGGACGTGAGCCCATTCATGTGTGGAGTTATAGGCCGCACCCAGCAGCTGCCCAACTCCTGTCTAAATGGAGACAGCAAGGAGGCCTTTTTCTCACAAAACTCAGAGGTGCTTCTAGTCACAGCAAGGCTTTCTGCCCCATATCCTGTGCATGTGTGCACTTCGGGCAGTGCCTGGTGCAGGCCAAGCTCCCCCCCAGTGAACGCTGACCTCTCTTCCCATTGAGCCTCTCCCAGCCCTCCCAGTAATACTCACAGCTACCTCAAAGGTATGTAGGATGCCACCAGGATGGAAGCTGTGCTCTGAGTGGGCTTCCTGAATCAAGTGCTCACTATTAGCGGCGGGCTCAGGAACCCACAGCTCACCAAAGCTAGATGGTTTCCTTTTCTCTGTTAACTGGAACAAACCCAGCTCCCCCAGGCACCAAGCTGCTGTGGATAACACCACTCCTCTTTTGAAAGAGGGCTTTGAAATCCGCTCATGAGAAAGGATGAAATAATACTATTAACACAGACAAAAATAAAGCAGGGATTTTCAAAATGTCAGATGATCAAAGGTATAATTTTAGCTGAACAAGAGTTTCCAAGTGATTAATGAGGTACAGACAGACCTATTGAACTATGAAAGACAAGAAATAGGTATTTGAGTGAAGCAAAGCTGACTCATTCTTAAACCCACATTTTTTACATCGAGGTTCCTTGGAAGGCCATTCAGAGCAACTGAGAGGAGCCAAAGCTGCCACAGAAGTGCAGACCAGGAGAAAAAAAAAGCATAATGACATTAACTATAAATAATGATGAAAAGATTTAACAAGTTGATGGTTTTGTTTTCACACTACACGTAGGTCAATGCAGTCATTCTCTAAGCATAAGAATTACACGCTTATCTTGGAGCTACAGACTAATTGACCTTTAAAGGTCCCTTCCAAGTCAAATAATTCTACAATCAGTTACTCTGAAGCACGGCTTTATCCCTTTCATACGGAGGAGACATCATGATAAGACACCTTCTCCCAAAGTATTCCTCTTGTTATTAGAATCAGCCTTGGAAAGAAACAGGATTCGTCTTTCTTCTTCTTCCTATTGCTGTTTGCCACTGATCCAGCAACAGGTCTGGACACCTGGTGTGAAGGACAGTGTAATTCAAAAGGTCCTGCTGTGCTCCTCTGCTACCAGGATGCTTCCAGTGGTCAACACTCACTCACTTTACTCCAGGAGCTCACAATGATTTCCTGTTTTATCTAGCATTTCGCTTTTGACATGACTAGAGACCCATCTCATCAGCTCCCTGCTCTTACACAAATATGTTCATCTGACTTGATTTACAGTTATAAATCAAGTTATTCAGTAATGTCAATCAAAATGACCATTAAAATATTCTTTAAGGCATTGCCTGCAGAGAGCTCAACAAGACTCCGTTACTCCAGCCATTAGTAAAGTTTTTAAGTAGAAGGCTGGAAATTAATAGAAAATACAGTTGTAGTGAGAACTCTAGCATTCATACGGCTGACAAGCATTAGAGGTGATGCAGTACTGCTCAAGTACTGGTCAAGTAAACTTACCATAACACAGCAATGCTGTATGCCAGTACCACTGGCAGTCACAGAAGTCACTCCAGATGGAGCAGGCAATACAAAGTGAGAAGACACCAAGCTGGATGCTTCCAGGAAGATTTTTTCATGATCAGCAGCAACAACCATCAGGAAAAAAAAAGCAAACAAAAATCTGATCTTCTGGAAAAGTCAGAGACACCTCTTGCAGAAATGAAGCTCACAAATGGTAAAGTTGTCCTTCTCTTCCAGACTAGCAAAATCCAAGCCCTCTCCAAAGCCCTTGGTGGAGACAGGCACAGCTGCCAAATGCTGCAAATACTCTTGCCCTTGGATGTAAATATCCCTCGACATATCCCTCACATGATCAGCACAAAAGAGAACTGTTTGCAGGCCATTGCTCAGTGTCCCAGGTCAAAGGCTTCTCATTCATTTCTGATCCTCTTTTGAACTCCCAGAAATAGCAGCATGCATGTAATACCTCTACTGAAAACATAAGTATCTTCTCTTATGCATCACTGGCTCCTTTACCATTTTTTGTTGTTTGGTTTTAGAAAAATGAAGCAGCCTTCAGATTAGAGCTGCCCAGACTGTACTTCTTCTGGTAGTCCAACCTGAGATGCCCCCACCAAGAAATTCCAAGTCTGGATCCAGTATGCATGAGAAAGAACACAGGTTAACATAAAGGGTATCTGGGTGTAAATGGATGAAGATGATGAGCTAATGCCACGGGGTTCAAGTTAGATATTAGGAAGAGTTTCTTCTCCAAAAGAGTGGTGAGGCATTGGAAGAGGCTGCCCAGGGAAGCAATGGAGTCACTGTCTCTAGAGGTGTTCAAGAAATGTGTAGATGTAGCACCGAAGGACGTGGTTAGTGGGCACGGTGGGGATGGATTGGCAGTTGGACTAGATCATTTTAGAGAGGTCTTTTCCAACCTTAATGATTTATGTTCTTAACTGGATGTAGAGGCTGTTATCTGTCTTTAAATAGGTGAGAACAAGGGTTAATGTTTGTAAACGACTGAAAGGAAGAAAAATCATATCCTCTGTGTAAACACAGGCCAAGTACATGACTGATCAGAGTATCATCCTGCTTTAGTTTTTCTGCTGGTGTTTTTGTTTCAGGTCATCGTGGAAGGGCTGAAGTTTCTCTGGGTTTGAGGCTGTTTCTGAGTAACAGCACGCATTCAGTATACAGAGCTCAGTAACAGTATGGTGCAACTTCTCACAGTTTCAAGTGTTGCAAAACAAACAAACAAACCTTTTTCCTTGCTTTTGCAAGGAAAGTAAGTAATCAAGAATCTGATATGTTTCCGCAGATAAGAAACTCTCATAAAAGACTTTCAATGCTACTAGCATCCTGTAAGACAACAAAGACATTACCAGATTCAATTTTTCTCACAGAGGTCACCAGCATTTGATCAGCATTTTACAAGAAGCTCTGAGTAGCCAAGTTCAGGATGAGATTTATGTACGTGGGACAGCTGATAGGAACAGCAGCACAATCCTGTGTGAAAAGCATATTTGTCTCTTCTGCACTGGAACATTCCTCCAAAGCTCCCCAGAGAAGTATCCTGGTTTGGGACAGGTAGGAGAGAAGGTCCATCTCTCACTTTTAGCCAGCTTCCATCACACACAAATAGAAAGTGTAGTACCACCTAGCTGTAGCACGAGAGCATCTTAATCAAAGAAAGACCACAATAGATCTTTGTGTTTACTCATAACTGGTAAACTGAAATTTGACCACAAGTAAGACCATGACCGCAGACAGAGTGACTTGTCTTTTCCGCTCCTAATGTATGTGGGGAAGGTGTAAAGAACATGAAGAGAAGAACGAGAGAAGGATGACTTTTCTTGCTGCTTATGCGCTTCAGTTCCCCAGTGCACGTTTAGAAGGACTGAAGTGGAAAGAAAACAAGGCTTCAAGGACCAATTGTGCTATCTGTAGGTCCTGAAGACAAGCAGTGCTTACAAGTTGCACAGC